ATATATATATATAGGTGAATCCTGATTCACAGCACTGGATTACAATCCCAAGTCTCACTAAAATTAGATTTAGTTATTTAAATAAACTTATATAAAATTAATAAAAAAATGTTTTAATTTTATGTATATCACATAAAAACCATACTAACATTGGCCCGAACATAACCCAGTCACAGTATCCTAAAACATGAAGAAAATAACTCAAGCATGTGACTAGGCAAGTCATTGGTAGTAAAAATGAGCTCTTTTTACGGCAATTAATTAAACCCTAGAGCAAAAGTAATGTATCACTTTAATAACCTAAAACTATCTTTATTTTGTTTTAACGATTTTGATTAAAAAAAATTTGCTTCGATCCCACAGCCACGTCTACATTTCATACACTCTTAAGGTTGAACAATTTTTATTTATAAAATAATCTCTCAAAATTTAAGAAAAATTATAAAAAAAAAGTTTCTACCAAATTAAATCGTACACTAGACATATATATTAAATTAAAAGTACTACAACTATAACGTCTTAATCTCAAATTTATTTGGGATACAAGTATTATATGACGCAACCTACAATAAAATTTAACATACGAAATTTCACCAAATATTTAATACTGATATATACTTATCTAGTAATCGGTTACACGTAATAGTAAGGTGAACTAGTTCAAATAATTGGGTTGCACTAATAATACGGTAAATTAGTTTAAATAATCGAGATTAATTTTAATAATACAGAGAACACATAATCTCAGTGTTACTAATCTATATCCGCACTGATACTAAATAATACTAACATTTACATATATCAATCTACATATTACAATCATATTATTACTACATGAAAATGACGAAGATGAAGTGCCAAGTTACCGTTAGCTTTTTTAAAAAATATAACCGTTTGGATCAACTAGTTTGGGCCTGATTTGGTCTTTAAAGCCCATATAGGGCCCGTTTTGAAACTCGGACCAAATGGTTCAGACAACGAGGAAATGCCACGTGGCAGCCTCTTTTCTGTATCGTTTCCCTTTTCCTTGAGATCACAAGTTGTCATAAATAAAAACGCAACTTTGTCTGCTGCAGTATTCTGTCTCCGGAGAAACATCTGAAGACGAAGACAGCGAGAGAGAGGGAGAGAGAGATGGGTCTGTTCTCCAACAGGTTTTCCCACCTTCGCTTTCTGTAATCTTATGGGTTTTGGATTTCGTGTTTTGTAATTCTTCTGTAATGTTTTTTTTTTGGTTTTTTGAAGGATCGATAAGGCGAGTCTGAAACCCGGGGATCATATCTACTCGTGGAGAGCACGCCCATCACGGTCTTCTCTCTTCTCCGATTCATTCTTCTGTTCCTTTCCCCTTTCCAATGTTCAATCTTTCTTAGACCCTTTTGCTGTTTTCACTGAAAATTGCGTGATAGCTCCCAAATTCGGGTGCTGGTGATCGATCTAGGTTTTTGATCGGATCGCGGGAAATGAAGGGTTTCTGGGAATTTCGGCTGACGGATTAGGGTAGAACTTTATTGACGAGATCTCGTCTGCATTGTGAGAAATCATCAGTGAAACGGGACTTTGTGAAATGTTGTCAGTCCATCTCACTTGCAAGTAGCGAGACTGAGTCATCAGCTTGGTGGGTTTACTAGTGTGTTGTTATTACAAGTTTCGGTTTCGGATGAAACAAAAACCGATAGTCTGCTCTCTTAGCTTACGGCAATAACAAGATTGTTCCTTTGGTGACGCTGATTTGCGTGAGTTCTAGTGCATTGATCTTTCTTTGTGATAACTATTCCCTCCTACATGATTTTCCTGGCTTGAATTTGGGTGAGTATGATTCGGAACATACGGGCATAGGTCAGATAATCATGTAGTTAGGGTTCTTGTGTGTTCTTTGGCTAGAATGTTTGGTAGCATCTAATTGAATTTTGTCCAAACAGAATGTGTTTTCTGGTCTGATACTCTGATCCTGGATTATTTATTGGAGGTTCACTTTACTCGAATTTGGTAACCGGTTAATTGTTGATATTGATTTTTGATTCCGTAATTCTACTTGAGCTTAGAAATCTCAGAGATGAGGAACTTATACATGGTTGATAGGTCAAAATAGTAACCGGGTTGGATTCTCTTGCTCAATCATTCAGGAATTTACGTTGGAGACAACACAGTCATTCATTTCACCCGAAATGGCCAAGAAGTTGGCTTGGGGACTCTGCTAAATAACCTGCTCGTAAGCTCGGTACCTGTTCGATACCAAGCACTTTGTCCGGCATGCAGCCCACCACCCCCCGATGGCCATGGCGTCATCTCATCATGCCTCGACTGCTTTCTAGCTGGCGGGATCTTGTATCGTTTCGAATACTCGGTCAGGTCTGCCCTCTTCCTTGCAAAGTTCCGTGGTGGAACTTGCACCCTTGCCGCCTCGGACCCAGATGACATGGTCGTCCACCGAGCCCAATACCTCCTCGAAAATGGGTTCGGAGGCTATGACCTTTTCAAGAACAACTGCGAGGATTTCGCAATTTATTGCAAGACTGGGCTGATGGTCATTGAACAAGGAGCATTGGGGCTGAGTGGTCAGGCAGTCTCCACTGCAGGCGGGCAGCTCGGGGCTGTATTTTCGGTGATTACCCGTCTGGTAACCACGAACATTTATGCAAAAACCGTGACTGTGGCCGGAACATATTGTATGAGTAGATACGCTGCTGATATCGGAAACAGAAGTGATGTGGCCAAAATCACGGTGGAAGATCTCACGAGAAGTCGCTCTTCGACGGGATTGACTCAAGAGATAGATTCTCAGATGACAGACAGTAAACCCTAGCAGGTAAGTCAGTTACCTAAAAACCGTTTATGTGTTTCGGTTCCTTTCTATCATCTCTAATGGTGGTTGTTTGAGACTCTTTCTTGTTGGGAATCATCCCATTGAAACAGTCGTATTGTTTGGCGCTATGTTGAAACTGTCGAGTAGTTTCTCGTTCATGTTACACAAAGGTGGTCACCTTAGGTATATCGGCTTCGCCCTCTCGGGTTTTTCGATCAAATTAGCCAGTTCGGCCTCGTGAATACCCACAGGGAGGAAAAAGAAAGAGAAAAGAGGGACGAAACCCTGTAATAAAATCCAAATTCCGCAAAACTCAAGTACTAATTCTGAAACCGTGGGTCTCCCCTCGCTCGCCACTCATCCCATGGCCTCGTCGTCGCCTCTTCCTCATTTCTTCTTACTCGGATTACTCGTGAATAAGGGTGGAAACGAACCGAACTGTACCAAACAAAAAATTTCGGTATTTTTCTCGAACCGTACCTTTCAAAATTTCCGAACGGTATGATTTTTATAGAACCGAATTTCTCGAATTCGAACCAAACCGAATTTTATAAAATTCCCGAAAAACCGAAATTGTCTTAAAAAATCTATTTTTTTTTAACAAAAACCGAAACCGAAACGTATCGGAACCGAAACGAACCGAACCGAGTAATATACGGTACTAATTTGGTACAATTTTTTAGAATACCGAATAAACCGAAACTGAACTGAACCACTAAAATTTTGACTCGAATCCCGAAATGCTCACCCCTACTCGTGAATACGGGTACTAACCGACGAAAACTGATCTCAAACCCAAAGATCGGGTCCGCGTCATCGACAACATCACATTTTACCGATGGATGAATATTCAAATACCCAAATTATGTATCGAGAAGGAAGACTTCATCAGCTTTCACCTTGGAAAGGTGCATATATTCATCAATGGATTTGGTGCTTTTAGTTACTCGATGCATTTGATCCTTAATCTGCTTAATGTGACCACGAATGGAGCGACCATATGTGGTAGCAAGAGTCTGCTAGGCATCGCCAGAGGATGCAGCAGAGGCGATCAACGCCTGACATGAGGGGGAGACCGAGTCAAGAAGGGCAGAGAAACCCAGACAATCTTGTCGGAACCAGGGACCGAACTGCGGATTAGGCACCACAGCATTGTCGACACAGATGGTGGCAGCCGGGCTGTTCAACGAATCAAGGAAACTGTCAAGGTTATAGCCCTGAAGCAGTGGTCGAATCTGAACATTCTAGATAACATAGTTCAGGGTTTGGAAACATCGGAGATGTTGATGTTGAGCAGCGGGTTATTGGTGTTGTTGGAGTCATAAGGAGAGACAATGTCGTTGGGAAGATCAACGGTATTCTTGAC